TTTTTATTGTATTTTTTAATAACTGCTCATACTCAAACGTTTTCATTATCAATTATCACGTAATCGTGGTTGGGCGAGTGTGTTATCGAAAATCTATCTAACATAAAAAGAATTCGACAATTATGCGATTTAATCGTGTCGGTTCTGAGCATATCTACTTTCCGCAGGGAACGCATTCAAACCTCACCTTTAATTAGTGATAATTAGTCCATGTTCGTATGCTCGTGTGACGGCGTACAACAGTGTGTGATTGTGTGTATGCGTCTGAGATAAGCACAGGTGGTTTTTCGGTGGATTATTAAAAAATTGTTTCCGTGCCTTTATGCTATGTCGTTCAGCTAATTGTGGTTTTTACTTGGGCTGCTTTATAGTAATTTTCAAGGCACCACGAACGATAAGTGATATTTACGCCTAGACTAATTAAAGAATGTTTAAAATTATTTAAAGCTGAATCATGATAAGTCATGTAAGCAATATGGATATTATGTGGCAAGACTAGGAAAACGTGTGAAAGGCACAACAAATATTGTTTTCAAGAATCGTAAACAGACATAAAATTTTATTTCAATTAATTCCAATAATTGCCCACCTTATCAGCTTTATTTATTATATCTAAAAACGCCACGTTTAAAAATATTCATTAAACGTGTGCACAAGACAAGCATTTTACCTTGTTTATATAATTGAACAGTTTCGAGTGACTCTGGATGATATAAAAAATTTTGCACAAATATTGCTTGTACGAATTACAGTCGTCTAGTCGATCCAAAAAGAAACATTTTATTTTCTTTGTAATAGTAGTTCTGTGGTGGTGGACGTGGAATATACCCAAGCATAGATTTCTATCATAAATAAGTAATTGGAAATAAGCTGACGTGTGTAAAGGGTAGTGGTATTTTCCGTTTCTCAGATAATGAGTTCCGTACACTATTTAATTTGTCATAAACGTTGCCTTTACTGTTGGATGATCAAGTTGTTCTTCGGAGAAACGTGACTAATTTGAGTGGAAAAGCATTGGCAGTGTGTTTCCTCGTTTTGGCAAACCGTACGGATTCGTGTTTCTGTGACGTTTGTAACTGTAACCATTATCACAGCATATCATATATCAAATCACTTGAAGTTGCGCGTTGCCGCGCTGGTAAAGCAATAATTGTTTATAAACATTGCGTGTCTGGATCCCTTTCGTTACACAAACGGGAAGATTATGTTACATTATAGAACGACAATTGGCGTGGAACACGACAGTCTACATTTTTTATCAGTTTAATTAATTACCCCAAATAGCAGATGAAATGTCAAAGTGTTACGCAATTTAATCAGCGGGTTCATTTCGGTTCGAACAAGACTAACTACACCTTTTTAGCAAATGAGAACTAAAGTAAATTGGTTTCCTTTTAATTAGAATGTAATTTCCACAGAATTGTCACTTTTATTGTGAAATACCTACCTTTGTGTTGCATTCACACTATTGTTAAATGGTTGTTAGTTCCTAGGACATGGTTGAGTCAATTTTCTTATATCGCAGAAGTCGATCGAAAGTGTCTTAAATCTTGCGATAAAAATAAATGAACTTTTTTTAAAGTAGATGACCAGACGATTTAGCAGCGCGTGGGAACAAAATCGAACTTTTGCTTATCTTATCCGACTTACTGACGCATCTTTAAACTGGTGTGAATGTTTAATTAACGGTTTAGTAGATAACTGATCGTTGCGGAATTGAAACTCCAGCAAATGTGTGGTATGTAGATTTTTAATATTTTTAACATTTGAAAAATGTATAAACTATTTTCAAACTTAAAAAAACTAAGGAGTCAATGAAGTGAAAAAAATATTAAACAGTGCCATTTTTTTTTAAATTTATTTTATTGGGAAAATATATTTTTGACCCTAGCTATTTTGTTGATATTGAATATATGTAGAGAATTTTATTCACCGCTCTTAAATGTGAGATTTGTGTGGAAATGTAAATAGCGTACCCATCCACTTATTTTTTTTCAGACGAGATGTGAAAAGCATTTTTTTGAATGGGGTAACATTGTTACTTTAATGAAATTATAATGAAAATTAATTAAGCGACAGTAGACGTTCAGGAATTATAAAGTGCATATTGTTCTCATTCATTTATTTATCATTAATTCACATTTTTGCTACTCATTGTGAAATGAATTAATTTGTGTGTTCTTCCAAGCTCTATACTCTCTTTTGCTTTTCGGCGATTCACACATACGTGTACCGTTTAAAATCAACGTAGCGCATTCTTGTCTCATTATATTTTATAATTGTTTAATTATTTTATTGTGGTAGATTTTAGGATAATGTCGTTTTTACTTAATTTAAACTTGAATTATGCTCAATTGTTTACTTTCGTAATTATATTTAAACGGCTCACTTTAACATCCCATAAATTCATTATTCTGCAAGAAAAATAATGATAAGAAACATACGTCATGATACGTTAATTTCTGAATTACTTAACGGTGAGTTTTTTAATTACAAAAAAGCGCAACTGTTCTACAGGAGTCCTGCGTTCGTAACTCGAAATCTAAGTACATTTAGTTGGCGTTTAGGATAATTTACACATCCCATTTTATCACAATAGACAGGCAACGTTACCATTTTTAAGCGATGGGAGTGTTTCAGACACAATGGGACTTCCAATATTAATTTTGAAATTTTTATTCGATGAGATCATATCGCGCACTGATCTTCAACAAAAGTCGAATAACAGATTGTTCATGTTGCTTGACTTAAACTAAACACTTGCTCAAATTTATTGTCAGAAAACAATTAAGATTTGTTGGTGAGATGTTCAGTCCGCGTGACCAAATAGTCCGGTGCCGTTTATATTCAAATGTGCGCCCACACTCCACATAACTTTGGTTCAATTTTATTTTCAACTTATAGGTATTGTGCATTTCGTATCGTTTTAAATGTGTTATATGTATCTACAATGTTTGCCTTTTTTTTCGAGAAAACAGTCTGTAAATTATGTAATAAGAGACTGGAATAGCTATTATTTTCTGTTAAGCAGTAACCACATCTGAAAGTGCTAGAGAAAGTCTGATTTTATCTACATGGATAATCTGGTTTCTGGCTCTATCGATGTGAAAAATTTTCGAATAACGTGTTACGTCTTTTATTTGTTTAACAAATTTTTGCTCTATTTGCACTGTTAAAACCGCTAATGTCGGAATTCAATTCACTTTCATTGTTCTCCATTGTGTTGATTTGCTTTTTTCCAACGTTTTAACAAAATGTAATTGTGGTGTATTTACTTGAGAAATTTGCTTTTTACTGTTAATTACAAGGATTCTTTACTTTCATAAAGAAAACGATGCGCATTTGATCGCAGCTTCTTTTCGATTTGGTGATATATGTATGATAGGATATCGTTTATTATAGCGTTCTAGTTAAAATTAATTAAGTATTTGCAACATCGTATGACTTTATATGATGTACATGTACTGATTTTTGTGTCAGCAGAAAATTTTAAGGATTACTGTAACTCGAGGAATAGAATCACCATCGTCAGACGAGCAAGTAAAATTTTGCCACTGTTTGGGTTTAGCCAAAAATTAATAATTTTGACGCAATATTTCAGTTTATCACTACTTTAGTAGAACGATAGTCTTGTTACTATTCACCACTTTAAAAGTTATGACTTTTATAACACCTTTTTAATGGCAGAAGAACATAAAAATTTTGCACACGACCAGACTCTACTTTATGTTCTCTTTTAAAATACGCTTAAACAAAAATAAGCTGTCAATTAAAAAAATGTCGCTGACGTCATAGTTTTAGACAAAAATTTTTAATATACAAGGTTGCCATTAAAAACATGTCGATGATGTTGTCACTTTGCAGGACAAACAAATTTTTAAGTTACTCCCAAAATACAGCACAGCTGAAAAAATTTTCAGTAAGTTCTTTGACATAATATTTTCTTCCACATTCTGAAAATTTTAAATTGGGGATTTTTTTCATATTAATAAAAAATGTAAGCTGCTGTAATACAGAAACAGCTTGGTTGGTAGTGGATAATCTAGCCACATTTATTTTTGTAAAATAACATCTTCCAATCCAGATCTGCTGAAAACCAGTAATTGAAGATACCCAGGTACATGAGCCATTTTGTGATTATTTTGATTGCTGTGAGTATGTATTGAAATATCCAAAATTAGGGGTGTTTCTTGTTCTCTATCTTGATTACTGTAAATGTCATGGGAACGAGACGCAGTAAGCAATAATTGAGGGTATAGTGGTGGCCTTCAAATTTTTATCACGCGACAGTTTTGTAATCGATAAGTATTATGATTCGTACAGTTTTTATGACATATTAAAGTAGTTCGCCTTCGGCGAAACTTGGTTAATTCTATTCATAAATACGGCGTCTGAAGCATTGATTAGGGTGAAATTTATTTTATTGGTCTGTATTCAATATTGGAGTTTTTTCTACGAAAACAGGGTCGTTAAAGACCGATACGCGAATGCATAAAAAGTAATGGGTCTCTCATCTGATTTGGGGCACGCCAACTTCATGAGGTTCGTTGACCCAAAAACACAATCTCGCGTCGTACATAACTAGCAAAGAAACCCTTCAAAGACTCTCGACAGAGAAATGTTAAGGTGCCGGAAAAAGCTCTGTAAAGGAAATGATACACGAAAATAGATCGCAGCGATCGAGTAAAAAGATATCATTTATTACTCACCTGTCGTTGTGGCATTAGTGTAATACTTATACCGCTTGTACGTACTTTTACTTATCGGATTACGCTGCGTTTTCTTAGGGGGTTTTGTTCATTTTTTTCCGCTACGGCCAGTGGACAGACTGATGTGTCTGCTGTGGAGATAAAAATAGACCTAGTTGCGATATTTTTGCCAGACACTACTTATCTAACGCGTTTCGCGTTCTCCATTTTTTTACGTTCTTAAAATAGTTCTAATGATTTTTTTCAGCTGCTTTTTATGAGGTTGTTAATTTTAAGCTTTTTTTGTTGCAGGTCGAAGACGATCGCTTTATCGATATAATCCGAAATATCCGCCACCTTGGGCCTTCTTAGTTTTAGTATTAGCGTCTTCTTTCGTTAGTATAGTTGGTAAGTACTGGATTATTTTTTGTACATTTGTTTTCGACCTAATTCATAAACATTGTGCAACTCTTTCGCAGTTAAAAGCATATGTGGATTAACATAATGAAAGCGTGCAAACAACTATGCAGGGAATCGGTACATGTAATACGGCAATTGTGTCATCACCTCATCACATACATACATACAGTTTATCCAAAAAAGGTGATTTTTTTCGTTACCGCTACATAGAATACCGAAATATCCTATCTAACATATTAGTGTTTATATTTTTGTGAAATATAAAAACAACAAATAATTCCATGTCACTGTGGTGTACTTGAATATTCACACGAAAATTAAAAACATACTGTATGGATAAATCTTCCGAAAAAGGCAAGATTGAGTGTTTTCAGAACTCTATCTGGTTTGTTATGTAGAAAATTAATGAGGTTTTAGCAGTTTAATGTAAGCTTTGCGTTTGGATGGTTTCACAGCCGGTCCCGCCTTGTTTTGCCTCTTTATCGTAAGTCACACATCATAATGTAACCTAGTTTTCGCTATAAAAAATGATCACTAATTTAGGACAGAAGTACATTTGTAATTTTTCCAGGACACGCTTAAAATTTAATCATTAAAATTAAATATTTGTATTAAACCCAAAACAAAAAGCATTACGTCAATAAATCGACTGGTTCAAAGTTCTTAAAAATAAAAAATCAGAGTGATCAACGAAATGAACTTGTTTACATTGTTAATTCATTTTAAAATATAGTATTGCGTGTTTTAAATCTTTCAGTGTCATTAACACCGTCGTGATTAATACGAAAGGTACATAACATTTTTAATACGTCTTAAAACTCCTGTAGGGTTTTTGGCTCACTGCATTTTTAGACCGTACAAAATAATATAGCAACAATTTGCTTTAGATATTTGTAAAAAAAAATTTAAAGAGTATAAAATTCATTAAATAATATACAGGTTTTCCAAATTTCAATAGGAAGGATGGATTTAGTTCATATATTTTGGACAGAATGCTCGTTCAAAATAATGATCTAAAATGAGACAAACAATTTTATTTTTTCTAGAACCCATTTGTCACAAAAATGCCGCATCATAATCGTGTAAGATTATGTAAGCGATTATCGTTCCAAAACCTTTTGACGTCCTTACATTTCTGAGGCGGTCCATCCCGCTAAATTTGGAACTGTCGATTCATTCACATATTCGTGTTGAAAGAGAACCAAGGAACGATGGATTCAACTAATTCCTATCTTATTGTGTCTGCTTCCCGATCCTGGCCACTTGCCAGGGTGGCGTCCCAGGCGTCACTTACTATTTATGCATTTCCGATTCGTGCCGGCGGCGTTGTTTCAGTGGCACTGTCGGTCGTTCTCTCTTCCTGTTCGTTAATTATTGTGAAAACGGATATGTTCCTCCTTCAGCTACAACAAGCAGTGTCAATACCCACCCAGTAGATAGAGCTTTACGGTTTTCGTACGGAACCTGATGTTGCTATTTTCGCTAATCCACGCGTAAGCACCTTAGGGGCACGTAATAACGTGTCGTTAACCGAGATCTCCCGTTCTAAATTTACAATTGATAATTTAGGTCTTGGCTACTTTGTGTTCTATTTCTGCGTGAAAGTGAAAGTCGAAATGGCTCGATGTCTGTTTGATGGACTTTTCTCCCCCGAGTAAAACTCGTAATAGGTTTGTTTCGATTGACCGTTTGGCAGCTCAGAGAATGCGAAAATGTACCCTGTTTCCGTCTATCAGTAGTTCCGTTGTGCAATTTTATACATTTTGGAGTTTCTCGGGATTTCGTGTTTTGCGCAGTTGCTGAATCGTTCGAAACTACGCCATGACCGAGTGTTTGCGTGGAAGAAAGGGCCGTTGGGACGCGAATGGGGCAATTTGCTTTCAAGAGAGTAGTCTTGAATGGAAACGTCGAATTAAAAGCGGTTCAAGACGGCAAACAAAACACTCGACTGGCTTTTTAATGACGAATGATTGTATTCGATCGTTCTGCTGCCATAATATGCTCCTGCAAGGAAACACAATGCTCTGGAATCCATACAAAGTAAAGTGGGTTCACAATTGCACGCGATCCGATGGTCGGTCGATATGGGAATTGTTTATTCTCTTCCATTGATGGATTTGGCGTTGTATATTGACTATTACTAACTCAGAATGCGTATTTTTGATGCGATATTTTTTTATTGTTATGCAGATGGTATGGTAAAATGGTTCAGATCGAGAAGATCCTAATCAGATTGTCTAAAATGGTGATGGAGCCAGACAATCCAACGAGATTCGTATAAATTGTCTTAAAATGGAATACTACCTAATTAATAATTACAACTTTCAAGCTTCAAACCTGGGCAATTTTGTAATTATATTCTTGTATTTACTGCATTAAAAGCACAAGCTGCATTTCATGTAATGGTATCTTTTTCGAGCCCGGAATTTTACGTCTTTGCGTGCAAATTCTTTGCAACTTTGGCATCGATGATATTTTGCTGTAATTTAGTGAAGATTAAGTTTAAACGAAAGATTACATTCGTACTTTGTTGTATGTGGTGTTTCCTTTCTTTTTGTGTTCTGCACACATTATAATGGAAATGTGAATATTTTAAAAATGAAACGGTTTAACGTGTTTGTAAATTCTAGGTTTTACGACTTCCCGAGTGTAAGCTAGAAAAGTGTTGTAGTAGAGTTCACTTGATGAATGGTAACGTCCTTTTTTTTTCAACGTTTCATAACCTGTAGCACATGAAATAGTAGGTATCCCGTTTTTGTCTGTCTATTACCTGTTGCTGATTTTATTCAGACGCGTTCGCTTGGAGACTAGTGGACCTATGACCGTGTAATTTTGGCTGTACTTTAAGACTACTGTGAAGATGGCTAAACGCTAACCAAAATTTGTTTGTGTATCCTTACCAACAATTTGATGACGTCTTCTAAAAATTTTGCAGGATAAATTATATTTAAAATGTGCAAAATATTATGCTTGATAAACGCAATGTTTTCACTCACTTGTCGAGATTTTTCGCACATTTTCAAAATTACACAACGTTCAGATATTTTTTAAAATTAATCAAATGTGTGGACTAAGCTTTTATAATTTACTTCAAAAACTGGAGGAAGAAAGTTTTGTCTAAATAATTATAAGTCACTTATCTATCTGTGGATATTCTCGCACTCGTTACCTAAATCACTTCAATTTTTACTTTTTACTTCTCAAGTTAAGGAAGCATTGTAATAGGTAGGATCTATGCGGCGACTGGCTACTTTTATATTTTCTTGAATTTTCTTGCGTCCTAGAGTATGAAAAAATAGGTCTCTCTGTTCCACCTGTCCGTGATGTATCTGTCTGTTTGTCGGACTGTCGATTTGTATTGGATCGGCAATCTCCCAAATTACCGAAACGATTGTTGTCAAACTTTATATGTAAGAAATATCGTATTTATGGTAAAAATCTAACCAAACTTTGTCAAATGATCGCCACTAACAACGTTATGACGTCACCTCAAAATGTTTCATAGTAAATGTTATTAAATTCAATAATATTTTCGTATAGATGTGGTTAATGAAACTGTTTTGATTTTTTACCTTAGATATCCAGATTTTTGTAAAAAAAAATCACAATTGTGTAACAACATTTTAAGGTATCCTAAGCATAGTAAATCGTTTATCAAAATTTATCTGTTTGTCTATGTACATATCCTCTCCCAAAAAATTGATGATGTTATCTTAAAATATGATAATACTTATTATGAGTATATACTTGTGGTTTATTGATGCATTCATATTTTTTAAAATTGTTTATACCTACAGATGACTCAAAAATTAATGAATGAGATAAATGATCGAATCAAAAACGACACAGTGCCGTTATTATTAAGATTACACTGCACTTATGTTACGGGAAAAACTCATAGGGATTATCGAAAAAAATCGCAAAATTAATACCTATTTATCATTTTTCAAAGAAGCTGTACTTCAGGCACTATGGCGTATTTGTTTGATTGTAGTTCTAGGGCGGGGGAAGGTCTCTTTAAATAACCGTGAATCAATTTTCTTAATATTCGATTTGCTCTGATTTCTGTGTGAAATTATGACATATTGATTAATTTACAGTCTTTCCCACACAAGTGGTTCTTCTATTAATGCTTTTGTTTTTTATGTTAATGAAATATGACAGTTACGTAACGTAATTTTTCAAGACTAAACGCTCACTCTGAACGTCTTGCGTTCACGTACGGCTATAAGTTACGTAGTTTTTTTGATTGGATACGATTAAGAAAGAGATTTTGCCGCCGTTTTATTTTGGGTGGTCGATTTAATGGTGTCTTTATTTTTAGCAGAACTTTTTTTGACTCATTTATCATGTACAGATTTTTCTTTTTTATACCAAGTTATTTTAGTTGTTTTTTTTGTGTCGCACTATTATGTTAGATAATTTTGACGCCAAGTTATGTCCCCGAAATCTGATTTGTCATTGATGAATAATCTCTCTTTTATGCACTGCCTTGTTTTCAATTTTTAAACGTCTTTCGTGAAAATGGGGGAAATGAGCACCTCCAAACTACAGAGCCTAATGAAGAGGCTTTGTCTTAAATATAACTTTGAAGGGAATTAATGCCGGCTAGTTAACCGAATAACGTGGACGTTCAATCGTGGTGTTTATTTAGACGTGAAGTTGAGAGGGAAAATTTCATTTATTTCTTTTTTATGTGAATTAATCCGCGTAAGAGAGATTATTTTTAAAAGAACTGTATATAAGAAAAAGCATTGTTGGTATTATTTCTGGAATGGTCGTTGCGGAAATACCTGTAATCCAGCGTAAACCGTTGTTGCATGGTCTGAGTCGATTCATAGCAATAACACCAAACTTTAACCCGGATAATGGTCGCAAATAAGTTTTATGTCAGCGCAGCACACCGCCATATATCATCGGCCATGTAGGTTTGTACGCAGTTTTAACGTTTTCGAATGTGTCGTCATGCAATTTCCTCGTTCTAGAAT